CCAGTTGGAAGGAAAGAAGACAATGCCGACACACATCACCGGCGCGATACAGAATACACCGAAAACACCGTACAACAATCGAGAAGACAGAGAGGCCTTGAACAGGGCTCTGGGGATGGCGTGTCAAGGAGACCAGGGTCCCGGGACCACTTCTGCAGCTTGGGGCTGAGCTGCACCCACTCTCAGATCCCTGCTTTGAAAAGGGCAGGTCCTGCCCCATAGAAGACCAGGCTGGGGAACGGCTTGGGCATTAACTACAGAGAGTTACAAGAACAAGGTCACTGGTGGTTTGCCCAGGGCTCCTGGGTCCCTGGGCTCCTGGGTCATGTTCTTCAGGCACTCCTGGCTACCTTCTCACCTTTCCTCTGCACCAACTAGGAGCCACACCCAGGATGACAAGCAGTGGCGGGTCCCATGCTCCCCCAGCCTCCTACTCTCTGACCCTCTGCTGCCCCCTGGCGGGCGCAGCCTCCCTCACAAGGAGTTCACAGGTGACCCAAGCCCAGGGAGGGGCCAAGCTACCTCCAGCTTGACTTGTTCATGTAACCTTCTGCAGAGCCCAGAGCCTGAACCTGAGCCTCTTTGCCAACCCAGGGCTAGAGATAAGACACTGCCAACAAGGGTGAGCATTTAGCCACCCTCCCCCAAGATCAACCCATTCCAAGTTTAAAATGGGGAAACTGAAGATGAAAGAGACAAAGTGAAATGGTCCACGCAGCCAAGGTAAGGAAATGGCACTCCAAGGCCAAGATCTTTCTGATCCATCTCCTCCCTGCCAGAGAAAATGTGTGTAGCAAGCAAGCACACAATGTGTGAACAGCCATCCCTCCCTGGAAACCATTTCATCCCACTGGCTAAAACACAAAAGTAATAGGTCACACAAAACTGGAGAGAGGTTTCCTTCCTCCCTCCCTTCTTTGCTTTCTGCCTTCCTACCATCCCTTCTTCCATTCATTCATTCATTCAGATCCAATTCCTCTATTTATGGACTTCAGTAGCATAGCTTTAAATTAATCATAACCCTTGGTTCATGAAGGCCTCTGTTCACAAATCCTATTTACGCATGCATTATTTTTATTCCTTATTCCTTTCTTTTTTATTTCTTCCCAAATTTCATCTTTCTTTTTTTCTCATTCTTCCTTACATTCTCTCATTCTCATAAACTCAAGTGCATAGAATCCGATGAATCAGGGGGCTCAAATTCCCTGTTCCATGAAGTACCACTTATCATCCATTCATTCATTCGCTTTCTCACTCCCTCGCTCACTAATTGTCCTTTCTTCCTTTCTTATTTTGTGTATTTTTTTATTAGTCTCCTGTGAACATAATTGTATTAGTCAGAACTCCACGTGCAAAACAAATATTGGCCCATGTATTTATTTGCATGTGCAATCTTCCCTGCATTTAGTCACCTTTTACATTTAAGTATTTATTCTTTTATTTATGAACCTTAATTGCATATATTTTATTACAATGGTGGAAGATGCAGCCTTGTATGGGGGGGCAGGATATATTCCTCTATTTTTCATTTATTCTTTGAAAGATGTAATGTATTTATCTATTTAAGGAGTATATACGTAAACTAATTATAATCCTTGTTCAGACAAATTCTCTTAACTAACCATTTATCACTTAGGTTTTTTATTATCTTTTCTTTTCCCTTTTCCATTTCTTTTTTCATTTTCTCATTTTGCCTCCCCCTAAGAACCTGGGTCAGGATTATCTCACCAATCTTCAGGATTAATGACATCGTTACTAGCCCTAATAGAGCCTACTCTTAGAGACACACCCATGGATTGGTTCCTTTTCTTATTGTTTTTTTCCCCTTTCTCTTTCATTTAGTTTCATTTTGCCTTTCCTTATCTCTTTCTTTGACTCTCTGACACTTCCCTTCTTGCATCTTTTCATTCTCATGGACCTCAGGTGCCCAGAGTGAGATGAGTGAAAATCCCATGGGCAAATCCTTGCCGGCTGTTCCAGGCATTTCCATTTCTAATTCAGTCGTTCGTGTGTCCATTCATTCTTTCTGTCATTCTTTTATTTCAATATTTATTCTTTTATTTATGGACCTCAGGTGCACAGAATTGGATTAACCATAATCTGTGGTTCCCGGAGCCTTCTCAACACCAGCACATGTGGGGCTCTCTTTTGTTCGTTAATTCTTCAGACTGGTGATTTGGTTCAGGATTTATTTAACTATCTCAGGAGCCCAGTTTTGAATTAGTCATAATTCTTGCTGCCTTCTCTAATTTTTTTTTTTTTTTGGCTCACATGGCCCTCTCTCTCACACATTTATGTATTTATGTATTCATTCAATGTTCTTATTGCTTATATACATCTTGTCATAATTTTCTATATTCTCTTCTTTCTTGATTTCTTTTTTTTTGCATTCTTTTATTTTTGTAGACCTTAAGTGCAGAAATGAGTGAACTAAAAATCATCATTTCTCATTCTTTCATTAGTCACCCTCTATTCTTTCTTTTTAGGGGTTTGTGCTTTTGTTGATGAGCCTCAAATTTTCCTATTTATCATATGAGTACTATTTATTCATTATATTTAGGTATTAATGAAGGAAGTGCTATTTCTTTTTCATGTCTATTTTAATTTATTTTCCTACATTTTTTCTTCCCTCGTTAATTTTTCCAACTACTTTTCTTGCATTCTTAGAGAATGAATGTATTATTCTTTTATTCAGTCTTTTACTTGTGCTATTTTTTTAATTATTATTCCTAAACTTCAGGGCCACAGATTTGAATTAATGTGAATTTGTGCTAAACCAGCCCTCTTTTGTAGACTTAATTGTTAGACCTAATTATTTATTATTTTTTTCACTTCTTTTTTTCCCAATTTTCATTTTTTTCCCATCTTATTGTTTCTCTTTATCACTCACTCACCCTTTCTTTCTTTCATTCTTTAGGAGATCAGCACCCAAGATCAATGACCCTAACCCCTCTCTACGACACCCTCCTCATCAGTCAATGCAAATCTTTTTTCTCATTCATGCATTCATGCATCCATTCAGTCTTTCTTTCTATTTAAATACTTATTTTTAGACTTCTAGATGGCAGGTGCGCCTAATTGGATACATCATAATCTGTAGTTAATGGGCCCTCCCCTCCTTGGCCCCACTGAAGTCCTCCCTGACATATTCATGCTTTTAACAGTTTCCTTGTTGGGTGGTTGGTTGTCCATCTCAGAAGCACAGATGTCAATTAAGTACCCCTTAATTAACCCCTTTCATTCTTATTCCTACTGTGGCTCTCTCTTATATCTGTATTTATCTATTTATTTGTGAATACATTACCATTCTTTTTCAGCTAGTTTTTAATATTTTTTACACTTGCATTGTTTCTCTTTTACCCTCTCTTTCTGTCTTGCATTCTTCAGTCTTGGGAGCTCAGTTATGACTCAGGACTTTGTTATGGATTGACAAATCATAAAGCCACCTGTGAATATCTTACTCATTAATTCCTTCCTTAATTAATTCACACCATCCTTCTTGCTTTCTTTTTATTTGGTATTTACTCCTCTACTCATAGAATTGGATGCTCAGACTTCAACACCCTCCTTACATGAGTCCTAGCCTAACCCTCTTTCACAGTCTCACCCATTTATCCAGACATTTGCTACTACATTTTTACCATTCTTTTCTCTTTTGTTCCAGCTTTCCATAGCTCCTGTCTTTCTCCCTTGACTTGTCTCATTCCCATCCATCTGGGGTTTCTTGGGGTCTCATCACACCCCTAAAACCTTCCTCAGGAGCTCCTCCCTTTACTTCACCCCTTCTTTGTTTTTCTAGGTACTCATCCACTTATTATTATATTGATAAAACTAAGGTGTTTTCGAAGTGGATTAACCATAACCTTGATTCATAATGATCTTTAATCATTACCTTTAGCATTTACCTTCTTTTATATCTTTGTTTATATATCACTCATTAATGTATTTCTGTACTTAACATTTGTTATCTTTCGTCTTTATTTTTTTATTTTTACTGAGATTTCATTTTATTCTCTTTCTCATATCCTTTCCTCTAACAGACCTCTCAGTTCCCAGGACTAGCTGACTCAAAACCCCTCAAGCCACCCTGTCCCCTGGCACTAAGTTCTGCATTTCCACTGTTCACTCATTTATTCAATCATATATCTGCAACTTTTGGGGGGGGGTTCTTTTATTTTGGCATTTATTTACTTATGTGGAGATTCCAGGTGACAACTTTCGGTTAGTATATGTATTCATCTTTGGTCCCCTGGGTTCTCTTTCTTTATTCTCTGTTCTTTGAACTTTTTTTCCGTTGTGCATTTATTTTTCTATGCCAAGAGTATACACTATTTGTATTTATCCTAATGTTTGGCTTATAACTACCTAACATAGTTCTCCTTAGATAGTTACTCATCCTCTAATTTTTTAATTATCATTCTTCCTGTTATTTGTTGTTTTGCTTTCTTACCTTTTCTTTCTCCCTTTTGATCATTCGATCTTCTCATTTTGATGGACTTTAAAATCTGTGCATAATTATGTGTTTTTCCAGCTCCCATTCATTTAGACTTCCTTGTACTTGGGTTCTATTCTTTTATTGACAAATGTCAAAGCCATATATCTGAATTACACATATTCCCTGGTCCATGATGATTTGATATTGCTTTGTGTGTGGACCTATGTACTTAATGATTCAATAATTTATGGATATGGATTTATATATTGATCGCCTGAGCATCAAAGTGAGTGGACTGTAGTCATATTCAGTGTATACTTTCATCCTTCTTTGCCTACTTATTTACCTATTTACTTATTTATTCATTCTTTCATGCTTCATTCATCCATTCATCCAATCATTTATTATATAATATATACCAGTAAGATGACCTCCCAACAACAACAAAAACAAAACAGAACTTTACAATATCTTAGACCTTCCTGCTTCCTCCCATTTAGTTAACCAACAAGATATAGACACCCCACAGTCCAAAAACACATACAAATGGCAGATGCAAAACGGAGACACAGGAAGTGTTATTTTACTATCAGATCTTCCCCAGCTCACATTTTAGACATACTGCGGGCAGGTCTAAGATTAGGGCCCACATTCCCCAAGACCCCTTGGCAGGGCAGACACTTCAAGCTCTGCCCCTCTGGACCCTGGTGAATGGCCATCCCCATGAGAAACCTGTTTCAAGACCCCAGAATACATAAAAACATACATGGTACATAGTCTCTCAATGGGAAACGACGGACATGGAGTTCATTTTTAAATAGGTGGCTTTGTCTATTGCAGTATAAAAATATTTTGGCCTTTCAAGGCAAATACAAAAGAAATAACCCATTAGCATCACTGAGTGTCCCAGTCCCAAACAATAAAGAACTTGAAGAGATTTAGCCGGAAACTTTGAAGGCAGAAAATCTGCCCGTTATGTTTTCCAGACATTTCAAGGGGGTAAGTGAAGGTCACTGGAGTTTGAAGCCCATTTGAGAGGTTGGTCCTTCGGCCTGTGCTCTCCAGCTCACAGGGCACTTCCATCCTAGTCTGCCCTGCGGCACAAGAGCCAAAGGGAAACTCAATAATGAAAGGGCCATTCATTTAGAGGAGCAAAAAAGAAGAAATTCTTTTGGGGTCCGACCCTAGAAGCCGCCTATAGAATTCCTTTACCACAGAGACAACACAAGGAGGCTGGGGCCTCCTGTCTTAGAACATGAGCCTCCAGGTCTGCACTCAACTTGGCTCACTGGCACTCACCTCCCTGTGTGCAGACCATGGGGCAGTGCCCACCAGTCCATGCTATGAGGCTCACCTGGTAGTGTGCTGGGGGTGGCAGCCCCCCACCCTCAGCAGTAATGCCACAGATGTGCCCTTTACACTCCGACAACTTACGATTTAGAGCTGAAGAGTGCTGGGGTCCCATGTCCAAGGTCCCTTTCCATGTAGGATTCCAGGTGATGGCTTCAGCTGGAAGGAGAAAGTAGCATGTCATGGAATGGAAACCTCACCCAGTTCAGTGAGAAAGCAATAGCTCTGAGGGGCAAGAATGGCCTGCAGGGACTCCCCAACCTCCAGCAAGTGTGGAATTGGTAAAACCAAGCATTTCCCTTCTCAACCCACTCACCCACCAGCTACCTGCAGAGCAGATGGAGGCAGGTGTAGAGACTGGAACATGGCTCCTGACCCAGAGCCCTTGGCTCAGGGCCAGCTGTAGGACTAAGTGCTGCTTTGTATAACCCAAAGTTTAAATTAAGGCTACTGCACACATGAGTACTAAGTGGCCAGGCCCTGGAAGGGGCTCCACCTTGAACACAAGGCATGAGCCTATGTTCTGGGGGAAGCAAACAGTTCTGCAAGGTAGGCTGGGGGTCAGTGGAACTGCTGTCCCCGTGGGAGACCACAGAAGTGGAGTACAGCTCAGAGGCAGGCTGTGGGCCATGCTGAGACCCATGAGGCTTCCAACATGCAGTGTTCCCTAAAACCATGGCACACACTTTATGGGACACAAGAGGATTTCAGTGGTGCCTAGACATCTTCGCTCTAGTGATCACAAACACATTTTAATAGGCACTGGGAAACAGCACATCTGGAACAGCAAGTCTTTGGCATCAAGCATTTGCCTTAAATTTCAAATTCAGAAAAAATGAGTTTAGCAACAGTGGATATATGTCATACATTTGTCAAGACCCACAGGACATACATCACAAGGAGTGAGCCCTAATGATATGAATTACAGGCTTTAGTTAATAATAATAATATCTCAACATCAGCCCATCAATTGTCACAAATACTCCACTCAAAGCTAAGATATTAAAAAAAAAATTTTTAAAGCCAAGATATTAATGAGACAGTAAGGGGGGCAGCAGGGAATTAATAAGAATTCTCCATACTTTCCTCTCAATCTTTCTGTACACTAAAAATAAATCAGAAAAACATTCACTAAAAAAAATTTTTTTTAATTTATCATACATATTTATTATTTTGTATTTTTTTATTAAATCATAGCTGTGTACATTAATGCTTAATTTTTTTTTTTGAGACAGAGTCTCATTATGTCTCCCACTCGGTAGAGTGCCATGGTATCACAGCTCACAGCAACCTCCACCTCTTGAGCTCAAGGGATTCTCCTGCCTCAGCCTCCCAAGTAGCTGGAACTACAGGCGCCTGACACAACGCCTGGCTATTTTTTTGTTGCAGTTGTTTAGCTGGTCTGGGCTGAGTTCGAACCCACCACCTTCAGTGTATGTGGCCGGTACCATAACCACTGTACTATAGGCACCAAGCCTCAACAAGTTGATTTTTAAAATGTTAAGAGAGTCTAGTAAAGGTAAGTAGGTGCATAAGAAAGGTGGCCTGGCCAATGACCCACCAGCACTGCAAGCCAGGTGAAGGGCACTCAAGGCCCAGGGACAGAAAGAAGGGTGGCCCAGAGTTCATCTGAGACTCCCTCTCTAGCAACTGTTTCTGATGGGGCACAAGTGGAGTCAGGAGGCCAGGGGAGACCCTTGGCATGCCCCTAAACCCCCTGGGAGACGAAGGCAACAAGAGGAATATGGGTTGTAGGTCACTGAGACAGATAGGAAATGGCAGAAGAACAAACCACCTGTCCCCAGGAACACTTGGTACAGGCTACCTGCCATCCAGTCCTTCAGTGACCCCAAGGAGGAAGCTTGTTCCAACACTCCCTGCCATCTAGGACACCCCCTGCTGCCTCTGCTTCTACAGTCTCTAGCTGGAGCATCCAAGACCTGGCCAGGGCACAGGGCGCACCACTTGCTTTCAAATCCACTTAAGAACTCCTTCCCCTGGGCTTGTGCTTCCCAAATACTGTTTTGCCATAACTGGTTGATTTGATAACTAAGACATGAGAAGCCTCAAAAATAAATATAAATAAAGCAGTAATCAGAGGGTGACTGAGGGACATAACTTTGGTTATCCAACATCCCCAGGGCCACCCACTGTGTGCTGGCCATTTCTGTCCCACCCCAGAGCCTGAGCATGGCTACAGAGGTGACTCATCAATGCCACAGTCCTAAGGTGGACACTCCAAACTAGGAACACACAGCAAGACCAAAGGCACTGCCATTTCCCACAAGAATAAGCTCTGAGTACTTTGGTTTGTTGCTTTTGTTTTGTTCTTCTTTGTGTTTTTAATAGGAGTGGGGAAATCAGAAGCAGCACAAAGCATCTGGGTTTTTTTTTTCTGCTTCTGCTCCAGGGACCCCATGAACCCTCAGAGTCCCTGACTATCCTTAATTAACACTCCATGCAGACCCCAGGCTGCTCTGCTAAGATGCAGTCCTGGCAGAGTCACACGTTGATTTAAAAAGCTGCGTATACCAGCTCTGGGTTTGCTGTGATGTATTAATAACGCAGAGCTGGGCTGGAATCTTCACAAATGTCAGAAAAGCTGCAGAGATGAGTCACTGTCTGGAACCAAAGGAAAACACAAGGCCTCCTTATAGAGTCCAGAGGAACAATTGCCACAAGCATTTGATCAAAGACCTCATAAGTGTGTGCACTGAGCTCATGACCCACGTAGTAAGTGTTGGTGACACACCACAACATCCTCCATGGCTTAACAGGATTAGAAAACTCTAGTCCTGCATCTTGAGATTTCAAAAGTTACTCTTTTCTGGAGGCAAACAGGACCTAATTGATCTGGCATGTCTTTGATACAAATAATTTGTGGGTGTTTCAAATAGCGAAAGACATAAAAGGATTATTTTTATTAAAATGTTGACTTCAAGAAATAAGCCTGTAGTTATACAAATCATCAATCTTGCCTCAGATCTCATACTTCCTACCTGTTGAGTAAATACCACCCTCTTACAACTTCCCCTGACAAATGCGAGCTCTGTGCAGAGCTAATTTCCTGTACCTTTGTGAGGCCGGGGCCCAGGACATTATGGGCCCATTTATGAAAATGGGAGAGGTAATTGGGACATCTTTTGAAATCATGTTCCCTCTCGCGCGCAGGCCCCCCATCAGCCGTCTAATTTTACTTGGTTGGGTTACAGAGGATGTTTACATATGCCTCTTCCTGGAATTTCACCTCTTTCGCTTCAGGAGTGGGCAATTAGAGAGAATTAAGGCCTATTTGGCGCATGTTCACCATTAATGGATAGAGTGGCTGAGGCAGCCTTGGGAAGGGCCGTCTGCCGGGCTAATTGAAGCTGGCAATCTTTCGATTCCTCATTTCAGCTCGCAGGTATTGTAGCAACCAAGGTCACAAAACAAAAGCTCCAGCCCACCATGGTAATAACCGGGTGCAGGCCTGACCAAGGCTTTTTGTGAGCTATTTATTATGACACCCTGAAGCACAAAGAGATCGCACAAGATGTTTTCAAAACTGGGTCTGAGACAGACATGCAGCGCAGGCAGGTGACTGATCACTTTTCCAGAAGTTGCCATCCTGGTGGCTTTTTCAGGAAGTTCTTAGCTGAGTGGGCCAGAGTGCCAACAGAGGTGTGGCTGTGGGTCTTGTGACCAAAAGGTACATGGTGAGTTACAGGGGAGCTGGGACACACCCTCCTGGGATGAAAGCCACAGGTCATTTGTCATTACACTGAGTATCTCTATAGCCCAAAAGGTTTTCCAGACCTGCCCAATGGCCCACCTGTTTTGGATAATGCTCCATAAATACAGTGCCTGCATCCTGGCATGTGGGGTGGCCCATGGAGCTTCCTTCAAGCCAGAGCTCTGACCCACACTAATGGCCAATGACAGTGACCCTACTAACCATGCTGCGAAAGCAGGAGCTAACAAACAGCATGGTACTTCATGTCCAGGGCCTGCACCAACTTGCCATGTGGTATAGTAAGGCTCTGGGCCTCTGGGGTCTCTGGTTTTCTCCTCTCTAAAGCAGAGGGGACAGTGGACCAATGGTCCCCAAGATCCTGACAACTCTAAAGACACAGAAACAAGCAAACAAACTACAGATGGCCAGAGAAAGCCTGAAGAAATCTAGAGATTGGCCAATCTCCAGAGGCACTCAGCTAGCCATTTTGTAGATGGGGAAAAAAATAAGGCTCAGGGAGCTGGCCAAGGGACAAGGTCACATCCATAGTCAGGGCTGAGTAGGGGCCATAGCCATGTCTCTGGAAGGCCACTCCAGGGTTGCTGCCAGAACCTGTGTCCAGAGCACTCATTTAGAACCCTCACCTCTGACCATCTGATGAGTCCCAAGTAGCAAAGGCTATGTCCAGCCAGGTAGCTGGTGGAGACCCAGCCTGAACACTGGGTAAAAAAGGAGCTGGCCTTTTTTTTTTTTTTTTGGTGCCATGACTCAGATATGAACAGAGGTTGCAGCAGGGGCTGGCCTTTCTAGCACTAACATCTTCTTCTGACTGACAGAATGTGTAGAACTGACAACCTCCTGACTCATTTTACAAATGGGGAAACTGAGGGCCAGAGCCATCAGTAACAGTAATACACCAGCCAAGACTGAGACCTAGGACTCCTTCCTCTCATGGCAGGGATTTCACCCTGGTTGTCCAGAGAACTTGACCCTCGGAAAGTATGGGGCAGTGGTGATGCAGGCTTCCCTCCAATCTCTGGATTTCTTCAGCACACAGGACCCCTCCTTCAAGGCCACCCACCACCCTGCGGACCATGCTGACTCCTTCCCCTCATCCTCCCTAGCCATAAATATAAACCCCATGGATTTCTGAGACCCCTAAGCCTAATTTCTCAACCTGGTAGGGATGACTATCTGCCCACTGAATGGTCCAGAGGGAGGACTGGAGGAATGAAAGAGACTGACCCGCCATGGTCCCACATGGCCAGCACAGGCAGTGTAGTCATTCTTTGGCCCCCTCAGCTATCCTCTTTCCCCAACTTTCCATCCTGGAGTTCTGTCTCCTCGGCCCCATTCTGTCTCTGGGCCTGTATTTCAGGCATGAGGCCCAGGTTGATCAAATTTTTGTTTATAGGCACAGTCACTCCCATTCTTCTTTCCTAAGAAACTTTCCAAAATCAAGACCTAGGAGCATGAGCACCTCCAAGGACTCACAGATGGGGCGGCAGGGTAAGCGCGTCATTGTGCAGCCTCTACATCCCTCGGTGCTTTGGAGCCCCCCTTCACACACATACACACAAGGGCAAGGGGCCCCATGGCAGCCCCTGGAGGGAACACACACACAGTCCATTTCAAGGGAAGGTAATTGGGGTTTTCTTCTTTTCATCTGAAGAAAAGCCACCTTCCATTGAAAGAGTGTATTCACAGAACCTGGGAAAACTCATCTGCACTCAGCCCTCCCAATTATCCCCAGGTGGCTGTTCCCCATGGGGGGCTCCCCACATTCCTTTCTTCCTGCGCCTTTGTTTCCATCTGAAACAGCCCTGGGAGCTCCCAGGCTAAGAGTCTCCTCCTTAAGCCCCTGCCAAAGACCCTATTCACTGAGCAAAGAGAAGGCAAGCAAAAGGTGGTCCGGAGCCTTCCTTTCTCCCAGGGTAGAGGAGTTAAGAATTCTCCATCTGCATTTTTTTTTAAGCCCAAAGAAATTGGAGAGCAATTAGGAAAGTCATGACTACACCCTCCCACCGTTGTCCTCTCTGCTAATTAATGCCTCTCTCACACACATCCCTGCACGTTGGGAGACCCACTCCAGCCTTTGTTACATAGCCCTGCTCTGCACATGGTCCCCCACAACCACCAGGGACTTGAGGGTGAAGGGGAGCTGAGAAGACAGAGATATGTCTGGAGACCTCACAACAGTCAGTTCTGAGAACCCTAGCTAGAGTGACCCCAGTTGTCCAGAATGAAGATTAGAACCCTGACCTCAGGATCTGACTCAAATCTAAAGGGAACTGGGATTTCTGGGATCTATGGGCACCTCAAAGATGGGCCCCTCAGACTCTCTCAGATTGACAAGTGGTCTCCCCATCCCAGCTCATGACTCCTCTCCTGGCGCTGTTCTGTCCTGTGGCAGTGCCCAAAAGTATGCCCAGGAGAGGGCATCATCAGGGGCAGATCTTGCTCTTCTCAGGTAGCCAAGATCTTACTCCATTCCCACTTTGCCTGGCTCTGAAGCACGGACCGATTCCACACCAAGGAGGTAGGCCTGCAGCACCCCTTCCCTCAGTCTTCCCTACAGAGCCCCCACAAGCAGCCAAGGATAGGGACTGCTCCATTTGGACTGGGAGACCCTTTCCTACCCGAGACTTGTCCCTCTCCTTTTCAAACTGAGAATTTGAGATGGCCTCATTTGGAAAAGCCAACTCTTCCAGAATTTTTCATTTGTTTAAATACAGAACGGGAGACCAGGCTAAACATCCTTATTCCTCCTTTGGGAGACAGGACAGGGCTCTGAGTGGCAGAGGGGAGGGGGACCTTGGGACTTAATTCACAATTTGTTAAATTCCAGTCTCCTAAAAAGATAATGCTCCCAGCCACCCATGGTTTTTCCAGCTCAGCTGACAATGCTGGTTTCTACATTGTCCACTGCCCTTTAACCCTTTTGGGACCTTAATTTGTCCCCTCCACATCCCCTTCTGTGTAAGGCTCCCTTCCTCTTTTCAAGGAAAAATTCATTAGCAAGCTCATTAAAGACGGGTAGATTTTTTTTTTCATTTTTTCTGGAAGTCAGATTGCTCATAAAAAACACATTTAAGTTACTTCATGTAAATGAATGAATAAGAAACACATGCATCCTGTTGCCCTTAAGTCTTGCCAGGTTTTGACATTATTTGGAGAAAAGTACTTGGCAATACATTTGGGGTTTGAATCACAACTCAGGAGGCAGGAGGTCAGGGGCCCTCAGAGCTGCAACAAGCAACTTACAGGTGGGAAAATGTAGGGGTGAGCGAGGGGCCACTTTGTTGCCTTCCATGAGCAGAGCCTGACCTACACTTCAGCTCCCTCTCTCACCCACCCATATGAGAAAGGAGAGGTTTACAGACAAGCCCACTCACTCTTCCTTGACATCTGTGCCCACTGGAAAATGTCTAGATGGAGGCAGCCCCAGGGACCTGCTTAGCACAATGACAAATGGCCAAAGATCCCTTCCCTACCACCAGGGTGATAGGGTTCTCTGTGCCCCACTGCCTGGCCAGTCAAGGCCTCATTTTCACCTCTTATTGCTCAGGAATTGGCCAATCCATCAAAAAGAATTTTCCTGAAAAATGATCATTTCTTTTAACACTTAATAATGGCCTTTCCACAATTTCTGAGATGACTGTATGTAAAGCTGATATATTCTATTATGTTTCAACTTCTTTAATGAAAATCTTATTATGTTTTTATCTATGTTCTACCTAATAACACACAAAACCCCAAGTATATGTCTGCCTGAGACCTAACACTCATAAAGCACTTGAAATACAGCTCAGTACCGAGACTCCTTGGCAAGTGGGGGACGGGCAAGGCTTGGTATCGTCCAGGATGGCTGGTCACGTAGTTACCTGGACTCCACCTGTTGGACCTGGCCTTCACTTTGACATTGCCCCTAGGCTCAGCTCACCTTTCAAGAGCCCTGAGATGTCCCCAAGGAAGGAGTCTAGAAAGCCATGGTATCTGATCCAGACCAGCTACACAAATGCTTTCCCATAAGCTCCAAGATACAATCCTCCAAGGAGTCCAGCATCCTGCCCTGTGTAAAGCTTTCCTTCCAGGCCTCTTCTCCACATCACTGTGTTTGCAGGTGGCTCAACAAACGCAAGCAGGGAGTAAATGTCACAGCGCAGAGCCTTCCTGGGCCCCTCCCTGGATCTAGCCCTGGGCACACACTCCCCACCTCTCTGCAGGCTATAGGGCTCTCCAGAGAGAGAAAACAAGCAGATAAAGGCAACAGCCCCCCAGGTTTGGATACCTCTGCCCCTCTGCCTATACTAACAGATTTTGTTTAAAAATAATATCCACATCCCATTTCAATTTTAGGGGAGAAGGGCAGGGATATAGAAGAGCTGTCTGCATATCCTCTGTTTGATTAAGGAGCATTGTGGAGGCTGTGTTGGAAACCAGAGACTCTGAGGGGAAGACAGGGTCCAACCCTGGTGTGGAGCTCTGTTCACCAATTTCCCTTCCCAGTGACCCCATGTGTGGGTGTCAAAGAAGGCAGTGTTGGCATCGGGACCAAAGATAGAGCTGGGTACTCCTCAAAGCTTCCTAAATGACTGGGGGAACTGAATCAGCTTCCCCCCATGGCCCATGCCTTTCTCACCTTCCATCTGGATCCTGGACACTTTAACTCATTTACCCCAGTGGCTATCGCCAAAGCACCAGATATAGGGATGCCAGTGCCTGGCCTCACTGGGCTGCTGGCTCTGAAAACACTTCTTTGTGCCTGTCCTGAGCCATGGCTCAGCCCCTAAATCCCCAGAAAGAAAGGTACGCACAGCTGAGCCCCCTCTCTTCTTGCCCTCCCAGGCTTCACCTCAGTGTGGCTGTTCAGCACAAAACCCTGGGGCCAAGTAGAAAGGGAGGACCCCTGCCTTCCACACCACCTGGCCTGATGTGCTAGCCATTCTGCTAGTGAGAACCTCCCAGGGCAGCTCGGTGCCTGTGGCTCAAGTGGCTAAGGCGCCAGCCACATACACCTAAAGTGGTGGGTTTGAATCCTGCCCGGGCCCGCCAAACAAGGAAGATCATTAGAACTCAGAAGTTTGGCTCAG